ATTTGTAACTTTTTCCTGAGCAATAGCAACTCAGTGTGTAGAAGGGTGGTGCAATCTACCTCACACTGCAATCTAACTTTGACATATGAGTAAGGATAAAAATCAGCAGAGCAGAGCTGGGGAAAACTGCCAGTGGGTTTCACTTCCCAAGGCAGTGTTAACATGAGCCCAGGTCCCATCTGACTAAAACTGTAGGAGTTCAGCACCAGCTGGGTTGATGGATCTCGGTCTGAACTGTTACAGGGAGGGGGTAGGGATGGTCCTGATTAAAGCTCAGGGTGCCCTCTTTTCTGTGATCAAATCCTGAACCGTGTCTATGCAATCTGCAACGCACTCTGGAAAGCGGTAGGAAATTAGAGCTGCCTTCAGAAGTTGGGTAGAAATGTGACCTGTTCTCAGCAATCCACACACCACCCTGTTCTTTGAGTCCGTGGACAGATTGTGCAGAGCTTTCCTTTCCAAAAAACCCATCCCAACAACTCTCTGACTTTGGCATAATTACTTTCCTTATTTTGGGAAATGTTCCTATCGTCCCCCAGGAGACCACAATTGTGCCAGTGAAGACAAAACTGGAATACCACCCCTTTTCCACATGGAGAGGCAGCAGTGCAGAACTTGGCTCTTTCTGCTCTATATGGGCTTGAAAGAGTCACTGCTCCAGGCGCGTCCTGCTGTACCCTTCTCACAGCTATGCTCCTGCTGCATCCTTGCTGGTACGACAACAGGGCAAAGGCGGGTTTCAGGATTCGTTCACATACTCCCTCATTTCTAAGAGCCATCATGTCAATCATTTGTGAAAGTAGTGTTGAAATAAACAAAAGTGAGCTGTGGCTGGGATTTTCTCATTTGTGGTTTGATAAGGAGAGAAGAAAAACAGATGCTTTCCTGCTACAGCAGATTTGTTCTTTTGTTCACTATCAGCTCCTGATTCCTTTCTCCTCCCAGCTGATGCTGCCCCCTCATTGCCACGGTTTGAGGTCCTTCACTGAGCCACAGCGTAAGAGGACAGAGGAGAAAAGAGGAGAAAATGCCTAGCTTGACTGTAGCTCACAGAAAGGGGAAAATCACCATTTGGTCTGTGTTGGCAGCAAGCGCTATATAAGCCTTCTCTCCAAAACCTGGCTGGACAAGGTGCTTGGGAGTGGACCACAAAAGCAGCCATGGCCTGGGAGGGGAGAGGGGCTGCCTGGGTGCAGGGGGAAGCAGAGGCATCAACCTGATGTCCTGGCTTCTACAAGAAAAACCCTTCACACCTCGAGGAACAAACCCTGTCCCAAGAGGCCTGGATTTACCCAGGGTCTGCTGCTCTGTGGGACTTCCCTGCTCCTGCTTTCCCTCCAGTGAATGCAAAGCACTTCAGCAGAACTGAGGGAAGCAACCTGATGTACAGGAGGGGAAGAGCTCATACACAGGCTAGTCCTACAAAACCCGTGTTAACTCCACCCCCTCTCCCACACCCCAATCTCTGTGTAAACGTCCCGGTGACTTTGAAGGAGAGTGCATTCACTTAGGGATGGCGTGGAAGAAACACATCATCTTGCAAATAGCTCCAGGTGTGCCCAAGCCATCCACCATCTACTCTGCCTGCTCTAGGGTAACCACTGTGGTACAAAACCCACATTGTACTGTACACTGTGGTACCAAAAAAACCATTGTACTCTAATGCATCATGGTATAAGATCTGTACCAAACTGAGGGGCAGACTGTAGCAAAGGCTCTGAGTCTGCAAAGCAGAGCTGGGTGGTAGAGAGGGAATCTGTCTCTTCAGGGAGAGAAGCTGTTTGTGTAAGGGACCTTCATTTGTAAATATCCCATATGGCAAGGCCTTCTCTGTTAATCTTCATTGTGGAGACTGGCTTTGGGAGCTACATCTCTTGTTACCCTTTACGCACTGGTGGAGGAAGCTGTGAAGCTGCTCTGGCTGGTAGGTGTGAGGGCAGCTCATGCTGTGCTGGTCCTCCTGTCTTCACCCACCCGGTGCAGCAGCTCTTCTGACCTCGGGACCCTGCACGCAGCTCTGCACTGCTCAACAGGAGACAGCACATGCTCGCTTACTGCTTTTCACAAATACAGCAAAGCTTCGTTCTGTGCGACCATGCAGTTACTCCACCAAACCATAGGTTTTTAGGATGTCTGCTATTCATATGGGGCATGTTTGTTTGTAACAAAATAAGCTGCTTTAAAGACATTTTGGCACAAATTGTTTGTGATACACACCATACCAGAGCTATAAAAAATGAATGCTATCATGAGGGTAAAAAAAAAAAAACCCCAAATTGTTTTCCATACAGGCAGGCAGGCCTATGCACATACCTTCCACATACAGTGGCCATTATATCCCCATAACTGTTAATAGATGGGAACTAATTAGATAGAGATACAGCAGTATGTGCCAACGGACAGTCTGGTGATGTGCTATCAATGCACCATCCATTACTGTATCTTTTCCTCCTGGGAAATTCAAAGCATTATGCACTGTGTACAGCTGTTCCCTATTTGTAATCTAAGCTTCTGGCTCGGCTAATCACCACCCATTAAATTCCCATTTTCTTCACAAGTCACACATTTTCCAGATCAAACCCCTTGTCTTAATCATGCAACAGACTGAGCTCAGAAATATGTCCGTGTACAGTGCTGGAAGTGAGTGCAAGGCAGAACCGAACTGCCTATGTCCCCTAAGCCTCCGAGACACTTAACAGACAGATATTTTTAGATACACATTTAAAAGACGTACTGAAAAATAGATGCCCCTTGTCCCAGAAATCCTGCTGGGACTATCACCAGGGGTGCTGCAGCTGCCAGTGAGCCTCGGAAGAAATTCTTCGGAGAACACAATGCAGGATGACAATATTTCTGCAAAAACATGCATCAACCCATGGAATTTAGTAGGGAAATGACAGATGTCACGGGAACGCTAATTAACAAAAAATCAGTTACAGCAGTGAGTAAAAGATCAGTGTTAAATGCACAGGCCTGCAGGGTAATTGATTTAGATCCCTGTAAGCTTCAGCCCTAAACAAGTCTACAGACCGGTGTCTCTACAGGAGCATGGAAATGACGAGCCTCAGTAGGACTTGAAAGGTCATCTACACCATCTTCCCCTGCAAATGCAGGGCAACTCTCTTTTTGCCCATCTGGATACATCTCTCTCTAACCAAAAGTGAATTTTGCACCTTGGATTTCTGCCAGAGTTGAGCTGAGACTGCCTGTCTCTTTTGCATGACAACCCGGGGTCAATACTACATGGGCCAGGACTGATGTGGTTAAGCAAAGAACAGCTTTCAGGGTGAATTCAGCAGCGGATGTAGCCGTAATGTACATCTGCAAGGAGCTGCGCTGACACAGCCTTGTCCCCTGCACACGTGAAATGGAGCATCCATGAGGGGGGAAGCAGCAGAAAGACCACGGTTTTACAAGCGTGCTTTCCACCTAAATCCACTGCTGAAATATTCCCAACCCTTTGATTCTCAGCCTTAGGCCCTCTTTTTCACTAGATCAAAAGGCTGGTACCCAGAATACCAGGTTGTAATTTGCCTCTGTCAATGAATCAGTAGAACTATCATGCATTTAACATCAAACGTTGGTGAATTTTCATAATGGCCGGGTAGAGTGAGCACTGTTGTCTTTACATTCTTGATGTGCCCAGGTTGGGGGGGGTCAGAAACAGACCCTGAAGAGGTACAGGGAGAGCAGAGGTAGATTTCTCCTGGATTTTTTTTATCTCTTCAGTTGAATTAAACTTTATTGCTTGGACACATAATTCTTACTAAAACATATTTTAAGCAAGACTTTTTATTACATATTGTCAAACACTACTAAATGATTACATAACACCACTTCTTCTGCAGAAGTCCAATGCTTAGCTTCTCAAGAACTAGTTGGCACTGTCAAAGTGTGTGTCTACATCTGCTTGCAGACAGTAAACTGTTGCCATTAGCTTTTCAAAAAATATACAAAAACATTTCCCTGAATCTCGGCTAGTCCACTCCCCCATCTTTTTAACTGTTCTTAGTGTAACTTGATCTGGTGGTGCATCTTTAAACTGCAAAATATAAGGTCTCTGAGCAGTCAGGGGACAGACTGTACCTACCCACTGCCCTTTAACAGTAAGGAGAAGCTGCCCACACTGCAGCCCCCTCTGCACATCCCACCTCACGCTGGTGATGCTAGATGGAACCTTTACCTGGTGAGTGTCTCATCTTTTCCATCCATAACAGCTACAAGGGCTTTTTTTTTTTCTTTAAGGAAAAAAAAAAAAGTAGCTCCTCTAAAAGGAAAGAGGAAGCCAGAAATTTCGTAGCATCTCAGTCCTGCCCCATGATGCTTCTTCCTGTCTGTGAATTTCCACCTGCCCCTTTGGTATATAAGCAGCACACGTGGGGTAGAACTGTTTAGTTGCCTGCCTCTGTCCAAAGGATTAGTAGCAGCGGGGAGTGATGCCATTTCTCCTTTCCTCTGCAGTTCGCGGGAGGTGAAGGAGCTCTGGCTGGACTCAGTCCTTGGGTAAGTACTCCCCGGGATTAAATCTGTGGCATCGCGGTTGAAGTCGGTGGAGTGCTCCAGACACAGCTGTACAGAGATGTACAAAAATTTAGACGGGGGAGAGGTGTGCCCACTGCTAAGCGTAGCTCATGGGCAGAGCTGACTGAATTGCTTAGCCTTGTGTTTGCAGATTAACAACAAGCTCAAATAGCTGTCACCACTTGCTCATTTTTTGCATGGATTAAAAATGGAAAGCTGCTTTTTTTCTGTTTTAATCAAGAAGCAGATAAAGCAGCAGGGCTGAGCGCCTTCCAGAGAAGGGCTTTATGACTGACTCCTGTGGGATATCTTGCTGGTTCAGGGTCATACTTAAATGCTAGACTGGCTTGCAGGGGAGAAGGACAAGAAGGGTGCAGTTTTACAAAGCTCTTTCTTTGTCCATTGCCTTTTCAATAAACAGGCAAACAAAAGGACCGAAGGAAACCAGAGTGTCCAGAGCTCCCCCGATCAAACTCCTAATGAAAGTGTTAAGCAGCTGTAATACTGTGAGTGTCTTCAGTGTTTCAGCTCTGTCACCAGAGTGATTTTGAAAAGCTCTGCTTTCTAAACCATAGCATTCAATTACTCACATAGTGTCTTTGTTTTCTTGCCTAGTCAAAGACACTAAATGCTGTGAACATGGAGAGTGTGATTGAGTGCCAGCTGGAGGTAAGCAGCCGCTACATTTCCCCCGATCCTTGTTGGGTACCGATGTGAGATATCTTAGCAAAGTGGGGGTGGCCCCTGTAGGAGCTGCCCGCTGCCTACCATTACCCGCGAGCGGGCAGAGCCCCTTGAAGGCAACTCCGTGCAGCACCGTGCAGATGGAGCTGGGCATCGCTGTGAGCAGCCAGTGTGTTCCCCAGGCTCCTTGGAGAGCTTTGCTCAGGAAGCTGGCAGGCTCCAAAGCCATCAAGGCTCCCCAGAGTTTAGGAGGAAACCTCCAGTGCCAGGGGAGGACACAAAAGGGCAGGCTGTGTCTGGCTGTGGCTTCTCTGGATCAAAAGAGCAGCCTGAAAGAGCATGGGGTTGTGACCTGCCAGGCAGGTCTAGGGTGGCTGGCTGCAGGGTTTACCACAAACCCCTCTACTGGGCAGCGAGGCAGTGTCACTCCCGGACCGAGGCACCTCTTCAGCAGGTGTTAGGTTTGCTCTGGTTATTCCCCAGAGCTTCCCACAGATTTCGGAGTAGCTGCAGCAACTTGCTGGTGGCCCTCGCTGCTGGTGGCACCTCTGTAACTCCAACACCCTTCTTGCAGGCTGATGCCAAGAAATGCCCCCCGCTGGTCCCAGCAGACACTGAAGATGGACTCTGCCACTCAGCTGGTGAGTTTTAAAAACTAACTGAGGAACTGCTTTCTTGTATAATGCTTGCAAGCTGGCGCCTCTGCAAAACCACCCGAAACTGCCTGCTTCACCTCCCTGAGAGCAATCCACAGCCCTCAGCCCCACCTAGGAGATGGCTTAACTCCTGGAGTGCCACTCACTTGCAAATGACCTCTTCACCTTACGCTCAGTGGCAGAGGTGACAGTGCTGAGTACCAGAGATCTTGTATCCCGGTTCCCTGGTCCTCAGAGCCATGTTTCATTGTGTTCCCTGGCAGCGATGGGAAGTAAATGTGCTCCTTTCTCACGCGAACATCGCCACTGAGGTGTGGCACTGCAAACGAGTACAGCTACCAGCGGTTGCACACCAGAGCAAATAAACCCTCTTGGCAGCAACAACAGCACTTGTTTTCTCTCACCATGCAAAACCTCAGCACCTGTAAACAACCCAGAGGAGACCACTAGCAGGGCAGGGTTAGATTTGGAGCAGACCATCATATCAGATCATTTTTCACGAGTATCAGAAGCAAACATTTTATATGACACTATAATGTTAGGTGACTTTCTCATAGCTTTTAACCCCTCCCTACCAAGGACTTGTGCTCAGCCACAAATACAGGTCCTGAGAACTTCTCATCTGCATAAGGCAACTTAATTTTGGAGTAGAAGGCAAATCCTTTATAGGAAATTTGCAAAGGCAACTCCTGTAGGAAGCTTTCTAGCAAAAGGATCCTTTTTTCACTGTTTCTGAAAGCAAAAAAAAGCCACACTTCATCCCAATACAACCATCATCTCCAAATTCCTAGCATGACCTCCTCTTTAAGATGCAGATGCAAAATCCATGCTAAGAGATTTCTGATCCTGAAGCCAATGAGGCCCTACTGTGATGCTCCCATCCTCTGGAGCAAGTATCACTTTACACCGACTGGCTGGCAAGGGGCAAGCACTAGCTCTAGCAGGACCACTATCATTAGAGCTGGCTCCAAAGCTGGCAGAGCTGGAGCCGTGTGTTTTCATTTCAGCCTGTGAAAGAGGCTGAAAAGCAGGAGCCCCTAGTTCTGCTCTTGCTCTAAGGCTGGGGCACAGTCAGACCGCACAGTGAAAATTATCATTGCCAGTTGCCCAAGTGACATATCTGCCTTAGTTATCACAGAAACCACTGCAATATCAAAAATCTCTATAAATGCTGTTATTTCTGTGCCTTGTATGTTCCTACTCTCTAAGAAGAAACAGTGACTAGAATGTGAAAAAAAAAAAACCCCAAAACAGGAAAGGTGGTGTCCTTAAAGGGATGGTCACAGTTTTACAGTTTAGGCAGTTTGTTTCCTTAGTAACCACTTAGTTGTCTTTCAGTTTCTCCCTGTTTAGTTTGAGTTGTTTCAGCATGCATCTCTGCACTGCACACAGACGAATGGCCACATAGCACGTTCTGGGTTTTTTTAAAATTTGATTTTTTCCTTTCTTTTTACTTGCAGCAGATGGAACAAAGAAAAGAAAGAAGGTGATATTGCAGTCATTTACTCTGAGACGAAGCTCTACCAATGGGAATTCCCCAGGGCAGCTAGACTCGGGTGCCAAGATCGCTCTGTTTGGCCAGCCTCTGGCAATTATCTGTGGGGAAGATGACACATTGCCCCAGCCGGTCCAGGTAAGCAAGCCTGGCAATACAGTTATCATACCTCTGGCTTCCAGTGTGAGGCAGGATCCCCGGTACTTGTGCTGCAGCATCCAGAAGATGCATGATTTTGGCATTTCCCCTCCACACACACTTCTGATAAGCTCAGGGCCCATCCCAGATGTAGAAAGGGTCAGGTCTGTGGGTTTTGTCCAGCCCACCCAAATTTCACTGGAAGTAACTTTGGGTGGAGACAACCCAGGACCAGGAATAGGAGAAGATTGGCTCCTTAGTATAAACACCTGTGATTCTTCAGAAGTCATTTAAATGAATCTTTCAGGAGCATAAACTTCCAAGAATTTCTGTATTTCCCTGAAAAAAATGTTCAGCTATGGACTGCCACCGACAAATACCTAAACACTATCTTCTGGATAAAAACAGTCTTGTGACAGTTCTCCCACTGAGTTGGCTTTTCCAATAGACAGGCTTTTGTCTCATCTAAGCAATATTTGCCTGGCTTGGGAGGGAGGGAGGGGATCTGAACCAAGACTTAAACCATCCCTTGGTTCCTTCTGGAAGGAAGCAGGGATGACTCCACTGAAGTCAGTGGAATTCACCACTCCAAAAAGAGGGTGGGTTGGGGGAAAATCAGGTTATTGCCCATGTAATCTACTCGGAGCAAGAACTAGATACTGACCTAATTAGAGCACAGTGTACCTCCAGACAATTTTTCTTCTGTGTCTAAAGAAATGTTCACTTGCTAAAGGACCTTCCTTCACCCACATAACTGTTCTCCCAATCCCGTCTGGTTTTTTTTCCCTGCAGGATCTCCTAGCTATATTGTATAAGAAAGGACCTTCCACTGAAGGGATATTCAGAAAAGCTGCCAATGAGAAAGCACGAAAAGAGTTGAAGGAGGACCTAAACAAAGGCGGGAATGTTGATTTGAAAAGCAAATCTGTGCACCTGCTGGCAGTGGTCTTGAAGGTGAGCTCTTCTGACCTGCAGTGGTGGGAGGACATTGCTAATCTGCATGGGCCCACTTCAGCACCCAGAGCTGACCTAGGTGGGACTCCAAGCTAAAGCCAGAGCAAAGCCAGACTAAATGTTTCAGGCTTAGGCAAGTTTGGCATTTTCCTTTTCCACCTGATTTTCAGTCCCACTTGTTGTGCTGCTGATTTCCTGCACACCCACAGGAAACTCACTTCATCCCCCTCCTCAGCATCCTCCCCAGGGAGGAATACTGAGATTTATGGGTGAATAAAAAGCAGCTAAGACCTGGGTCCTGTTACTACACCAGTGTGAGTGTACTTGGCATGTTCTTGTGGATCCCAATGCTCTGCCAGTGCTGATGGTCAGGTAGCTCAAGCCAGCTTTCCTCCTAGGGAGCCCATGTTACAGTGATGCTCCCTCTGTGTGCTTAGGGGTAGTATCCAAAACCTCATCTAAATCTCTTGGCCTTG